ATAAAAAAATCTTGAAAATGTAGAAGGAGCGTTCCGTACTAGAAATTTCTTCCACTCAAAAATACTTTTCTTTAGTTTTACATTTAACATGGAAACGATTTGTAACATTAAATGCTTCTAAACGGTAAGGGGTTTTTTTTTAGCCAAAATGGTGTGGTCGTTTGAATGAAAAATAACTCACTTCCCTCTGTGGGTAGTTTTATCAAAAGTTGTAAATTTTTGTGTGTTGAAATATAGCGTTGCTTACTTTCAATTCTTCATCAAACGAACTGACGTGTTACTTATGGAAAGTAGTTTTGGTTACATCTTTAATTCTAAGATAGTGGACATAACACAAGTGTCTCGACCCTTGATAAATTCCTGTAGTTTTACTTTATTTCTACAACATTCTCGCACCAGGAAATTATGAAAGATTGTTTTCAATGAAAAGTGTCAATTGTTTTGCCATAGCGATTTCGGTCAAAATGGTTGCATATAAGGGTATGTTTTTCCTCGGTTGCAGTAAGTCAGGTGTACCAAAATTTACGCAATTTTTAATAGCTTTCATTTCTCACCTTCAAGAGGTAAAGAATTGACAAAAACCTGAAGAAATATAAGCAGTCAAAATTAGGATTGTGGGTTGCGATAACGTAAACTGGATTAGCAGTAGACAATTTCGATACGAGAGCCATTCTAACTTTTTTTTTCTAATCCTTGTTCTTAATTGCTTTCGTAGGCTTCATGGAGCAAGGACTTCTTGTTCGAGATCCGAAGCAACTCCATCGTAATTACATGCGAAAAATAATTTTTAAATTAGACTGCTTGTCAATAATACCTCTAGACCTGTTCTACTTTGAGGTTGGAATCAACTCGGTAGCATTGAGATTGAACCGCCTTCTGCGCCTGCATCGCATGTTAGAATTAAGAGCCACGATCGAGACCATTTCAAGATTCCCAAATTTTCTTCGTCTGTGTTCATTAATTGCTATGGTTTTGTTGATCTTTCATTGGAACGCTTGTTTTTACTTTTTATTGTCAAAATGGATCGGATTTGGATCGGACAGCTGGGTCTACCCGGACTTAACTTCACCGGGTTTCGACTCACTAACTCGACAGTATTTGTTTAGTTTGTATTGGTCTTCGAGAATGCTTACAACGGGAGAGACGGAAAACCCGCCACAGACTGACGTAGAACTCTTCTTTGTGACTGTCGATTTAACGGTTGGCTTCTTGGTGTTTGCTGCAATAGTTGGACAGTTTGGAAGCATGATAACACACATGCTGCACGTTCGAAGAGAATTCCTTGAACAAGCCGATGCTGTGAAACAGTACTTAGTTTTTCATGAGATTGACGCTGATTTGCAAAGACGGGTCGTTTCGTGGTTCAACTACATGTGGGGAACTAAAAAGTCCTCCTTGGACCGAGATAATGTTCTCAGTAAACTGCCGCATCCGCTTAAAACTGAAATAGCTGTCCAGGTGCACTTGGAAACTTTGAAAAGGGTACAGGTATTTGCTGATGTGGAGCCTGGTCTTTTGAAAGAGATCGTTTTGAAACTTCGCTCGCAAGTCTACTCCCCCGGTGATTTCATCTGCAAAAAGGGTGAGCCGGGAAAAGAGATGTACGTAGTGAGTAGCGGTCGACTGCAAGTTGTGCAGGACGACCAAGAAACTGTGATCGCTACCCTGAACGAAGGGAGCTATTTCGGCGAGATAAGTATCCTGAATTTATCCAACACTGGAAATCGTCGAACTGCAAACGTTCGCTCCGAAGGATATTCAGAACTACTGTGCTTGTCTAAAGAAGATCTACTCGAGGCTCTCACGGAATATCCCGAAGCTAGAAAGTTGCTTGAGGTTCGAGGAAGAAGGCTTCTTCGGAGATCGCGATAGCTAAGAGCCGGAACTGATGCCAAGAGGTTGCCTGGCAACAAGCGGTAGTCTAACAACATCTAAATGCAGAGGTCAAGACTTAGAGATTAAGTTTTCTTTTTTTTTTTGTCCTTTTCATATCACGGTTTCTTGGATCGGTCATTATCTATCGCCGGAAGGAGAAAGAGAGAGAGAGAGAGTGAGAGAGAGGGGTAGGGGTCGTGGTCGGAAGATTTTGGTTGAGTTACGATAAATTTAACTAATCACTGCTCTGTAATATTCTTTTGATACTCCCTTCATTTACAGTTAGTTGGCAGTCATCCTTTGCTACTACTGATCTCCCCCTCCGTTCCCCCAGAAAACCATTTGATTACCCGAAATCATCCGCCGATCCCCCACCCCCCCTCCAGGTAATAATAATGACTGGTCCCCATAGGAAATACAATTTTTTTAGTAGATCATGACCAGTGGTGCTGTAATGTTCTCTAGTTAAACTTCTTCTTTGTAAACAAGTATTATGGTTCTCAATAAATCGTATCAACATATACTAAAAGAGATCTTTGGTTTGAGAGAGATTTTCGTCAAAACAAGGAAATATTTCATGCTCGACGTTTGCGATTCCAGTTGGCTTTTGTCAAATGTATGTTAAGTATAAAAAAGCAAGAGGTCCTGGGTTCAAATCATACGGGTTACGCTTGAAAATAAACAGTGAGGTCCTGGGTTCAAATCATACGGGTCACGCTTGAAAATAAACAGCGAGGTCCCCTTCTGTCAAGTCTAGATGATCTGGAGAAAATTTGACCGACTCATTAAAAATATGCCATTAATAAGAAACTGAAACCAGAACTGAATGTACAGCCGACTGATTTGTTGAATATATATACTCTGTATGTACTTGGCATGCACTGAATAATGTTTTGTTCTCCGTCCAGTCCACCCCAACCCCCTCCCCGCCCCCTACCAGAGAACACATGTTTCTATGCTGGTTTGTCCCTTACCGCCACTTACTCTTACAAGTTAGCCAGTATTATTCAACAGATTGACTGTAATTATCATCTTTATTCTAACGAAGAGTACATCTTAGTAACTATTTACACGTCTATTTTTTGTCTGAGGAGCGCCTCTGTTGACGAAAAAGCAATTAGTTTCACACGGATTTCCTCCATTTCGATTATTCCGCGAGGCTGATTCGTGTCATCACTGGTCCGGCAAGTCCTAGAAAATGTTTTTCAGAGATCGACACAAGATTGGATGTACTATTCAGAAAAGCTGCTCTAAACTACGACATATCACTCGAGAAAATTGATAAACTATTCGCACCGCCACTAAGACTTTTCTTTCATGTACAACAAATTTCGTTTGGAAGAATCCCTTCTGGCGTACGGCTAAAAAAATTGCCTCGAAAGTTTGCTTTTTCAATTTCCGACAAATTTAAGGTGATATGAATATCATTAAGAGATTACACAGCATTTTTTCCCTTCATGATCCCTCTCAACAGTTAGGGCACGCTGTATGTTACACAATTCATGGTGTGTACTCCAGACATCAGCATGCTCAGGGCCAAGCTTTTTCAATCTAATGTTTAGAGCATGCTCAAAATTCTCCTTGGCCTTAACCAGGTCACCCAATTCACGCTGTACTTCACCCAAGTTATGGAGTGAAAAAGCCACATAAACGTGGTCAGGTTCAAGATTCTTCATTTGGATGCCTAAAGCACGTTCGTGAAGCTCCTTCGCCTGTTGCACGTTATTCATCGCAAATTGTATATTACCCAAGTGATGGTATGAATTCGCCATATCAACATGGTCAGGTCCAAGATTTTTCAGGCGTATAGCCAATGCTTGTTCGTGACACTTCTTGGCCCGTTGCAGATTACCCAGTTGACTTTCTGCAACACCCAAGTGATGGTATGTATTCGCCATGTCAATATGCTCACATCCAAGATTTTTTTGGCGTATAGCCAATGCTCGTTCGTAACATTCCTTGGACTTTTGCAGATCACCCAACTGACACTGTACGTAGCCCCAGCTATGGTAAGTAGACGCGACCTCAGCATGTCCAGGTCCAAGCTTTTTCAACCTTATGTTTAGAGCACGTTCGTAATACTCTGTGGCCTTTTGCCAGTCACCTAAATCACGCTGTACATTACCTAAGTCATCGTAAACACGCGCGACATCAACATGCTCGGGTCCAAGCTTTTTCAACATAATGTTTAGGGCACATTCCAAATGTTCCTTGGCCTGTTGCAACTCGCCCAATTCACGCTGTAGCATACTCAAGTTATGGTGCGTGGATGCGACGTCATCATGCTCGGGGCCAAGCTTTTTCAATCTAATGTTAAGTGCAAGTTCATAATTCCCCTTGGCTTTAACCAGGTCACCTAATTCACGATGTGCACTTCCCAATCCTTCGTAGGAAAAAGCCATATAAACATGGTCACGTTCAAGATTCTTCAACTGGACTTTTAGAGCACGCTCGTAAAGCTCCTTCGCCTGTTGCGCGTTATTCAAAGCAAATTGAACATTACCCAAATGATGGTATGAATTCGCTATATCAACATGGTCAGGTCCAAGATTCGTCAAGCGCAAAGCCAATGCTTTTTCGTGATATTCTTTGGTCTGTTTCAGGTTACCCAATTTACTCTGTACCACGCCCATGTTAAGGTAAATAGACAGGAGATCAAAGTGCTCGGGTCCAAGCTTCTTCAGTTTAATGTTCAGAGCTCGTTCGTAATATTCCTTGGCCTGTTGCAGATGCCCCAGTTCACGTTGTACATCACCCAACTCACAGAGTGTATGTGCGACAGGAATATTCTCGGGTCCGAGCTTTTGAAAGCGAATGTCTAGAGCACGCTCATAATACTCCTTGGCCCCTTGCAGGTCTCCCAATTCGTATTGCACAACACCCAAGTCAAAGCAGCTACGGGCGACATCAACATGCTCGTTTCCAAGCGCTTTTAACCTTATGTCCAGAGTGCGTTTAAAATGGTCCTTGGCTCGTTGTAGGTTTCCCAGTTCACTTTCCACCACACCCATGTTACTGAATGAAAACGCCACAAAAATATGATCATCACCAAGATTCTTCCTCTGAATTTCTAAGGCACGTTTGTAATACTCCATGGCCTGTTTCAGGTCAACCGAGTTGTGCTGTACATTACCTAAATGATGATATGTATTTGCAACATCAACATGCTGGGGTCCAAGATGTTTTAGCTGAATGTCTAGAGCACGTTCATGATTCTTCTTGGAATTTTTCAAGTCACCCAATTCACGCTGAACCAGACCCAAAACATTGTAAGTAGCCACAAGGGCAACATGTTGGGGTCCAAGTTCGCTAAAGTTAATGTCTAAAGCACGCTCACAATACACTTTTGCTTCTTGTAGTCCACCCATTTTCCATAGTATAATGCTTAACAGGCTATAGATTTCAGCATGATCTACTCCTCCAGAAGCTTCACTGTTTTCAACCAGTTTCAAAGCTGTTTCACAGTAAACTTTAGCACCTGAAAATTCACAGTGATTCCGACAGATTACAGCAAGCCTTCTGAAATATTCTACTAGATTGGAAAATTTGAATACCTCTTTTTTGATAACTTGATATTTTTCTTCATGAAGGAAGACATTTTCAACTTCGACAGCTAACGCATTTAAGTGTGAAATGAGATGCTCGCTGTCACAAATAGAGTTTTGCTCGTTCCAAGTTTGTGGTAGGTGAGAGTCTATGAATTGGTTGAAGGACATTACAGCCAGCGCAACACTTTGACCGTGTTTATCAGTCTCCTGGCACTCGTTGATTACAGATTTGCTGACCTCATGCACAACTCGATGAGTACTGGCAAAAGTACCTTTTTCTCTTTCCTCGAACATAAAAAGTGAGTAACCTTGGATCTGAAGAGCAATTTCTTCTTTATCCAAAAACAGATTCTTGTCATTCAAAATGTAATTCATAACAATGTCTAGATGCAGAGGTTGTGGAGAACATAGCGAAAAGAGTGTAAATGCACTTTTTACAACAGTATCATTGTCTATCGCTCTTTCAATGGCCAGCTTTGTTGCCACAGTCATGGATTTCCCGTAGCAAGGGTTGGTTTCAATGAGTTTCGTTTCAGTACGGGTTCGCATACCTCTTTCTAGTTTTTCTAAATAATCCTTCCATCCAAAGTTTCTGTGTACTTGACTTTCACGAACCTTTCTTACGTACACGCCTGCACTAGCCAGTGCGAGAGGTTGGTAATCTAATGCCTCCGCGACTTTATCTTCCACCCCTTGTTGTCTAATCCCCGAAACCTTCTGTAAAAAAGAAGTGGCATCTGTGGGCATCATGCCTTTGCTCACTGAGATGTGAGAGACAAAGGAGCTTTCAGAGGGGATGGATGAAGTGTTCTGCGTTGTGATAAGCAACTGGCCTTTCGTCCATGGTTCATTTCTGGGCTGAGGGAGAAAATCATTTACTTCCGATAAACTTGTGACATTGTCGACCACCAAGAGCCAAGAACCATAAAGAGGAATTTTGGTTGCTAACAAATCCTTTAGATTGTTAACTTTTTCTTCAAACTGCATCTTTGTTGAGTTTAGGGTGAACATAACAGTGTGTTCATTGCACTTGATTTGTCTTGCCAAAGAAACGTACGATTCCAAAAGCGTTTTTGAACTTTCAGCGTTCAGAGTCATTACGAATGTAGGGGTTTTGAGGTCTATGTTGGCTGCTTCGTAGAATTTCTGAGCTACTAGGCCGGCCAGTTGAGATTTACCACTTCCAGGGTTACCGGAAATATATAAGTAACTCAAACCATTTTCATTTGCTTCCCTAAGTCTTTCAAGCTGTTTCGTTATTTTTCCAACCTCGCTCTCGCGAGGTGCGATTTCGTGCGATGGTTTGGGCGGAAGGATACAGAATGGAGAGACATTTTTAGGTACCTGCTCCTCGAGGTTACGATGATGTTCTTCAAGGAATTGGCGTTCTTCTTCAGAGATTTGTAGTTTGACATTTGTTACATGTAGTTCTTCGTAAAGGCTTTTAACGTTTTTCCAAACATTTTCCAGTTCCTCCGTCGGAAAACTTTTCTGCTTGAAGATATGTTTAATCTCAGTGGTGGAAAGACTAAGACACTGAAATGCGTACTCGACTTTACGAACGGCGAGTATGAACTGTAGATCTGGTAGCTGACCATGCGGCATGTGAGCGAACTCTTCATTGCGAAACTCTCTGAGATCATCGGCATTCGAGCGGACTGCTGCACCGAGTCCGCGGCCAATAGAATCAGAGTAAAGGATTGCAAAAAAGAGTGTAGTACAATCCCACTTCGCCCTGTTTCCGTTTCTTATCGTTTCTAGCAGACGTGCATTTCGTGTTCGGCTCCGAGCAGATTCTCTGTTGTAGAAGTCCAGTCCATTTTGAGGTGTATCTTTCCATTCTCCCAACGTTGCCTGCTAACGACTGTCCCATTCTTGTTTGAAAAGGGATCGCAGCCCTTGTGGTAGTATATCAGTGACTATATGACAAATCCTGAAGTAGTTTAGCTTCTCTCGAGTGTAGACTGGGCAGGCCATAATTTCTCTGTCGGGGACATCCTTTTGAGCTTTTTAACCCTGTTCGAAAACGACGTGAAACCTTTTTCAATTGTATTAGGTGCATACGAACGCGGAATTTCGCACGGTTCGTAGTTTAATGTACATTTTTAAGTCAACATTATGTGTTGCTGGTTTTATTTTAGTTTTCATCGCACATCAAACATAATAGTGTCAAACGATAAAATTGACTGTATCTTATCTAGAAGTATTATGAGAGCTTCCCTATCTTGGAGTTTAAAAAATGAATGGAAATAACATATTACCACAAGCCATTCAGTAAAATTAAAAATATAAGAAGCTAGTTAATCATTTCCTAATTTTTTTTGGTTCACTTCGCAAGTGGAGTAATTGTTATCGTTTCTTACTGCGATCGTGAATTTGACACGGAGACAGATGTTTGGTTTCTACGGCAGCTAAAATCTGTGGTAGAGTGTTTCATTTATTTTGCGACAGGCTATGCTTATCATATTTATTAGATCGATAAATAAGAGAGCAAATTTGATCTCTGGACAGGAATTTCCTGGAAATAACTCTTCTTATATTTTCAATCCCTAGTCTCTCTAGGTTGATTCATGACGAATTCCCGATCAAGAAAATAATTCCTGAATCTTAAACTTGGCACGTTCAACACCTCTTTCTTTTAAGGTAATTAAAGGTGCAAATAATCCATACTTTTTATCCTCCGCACTGAATTTTGTAATTAGGTAACTTGTTTCACAGCACGTTGTTCTTTTAGGGGCAGTACTCTGGGTGCGCCTTTCTTCTCCAAATTCTCTCTTTATTCTGTTGTTATGTAACAGTCTCTAAACGCTATTTTCTCTTTAGACCCCTATGCCGATAGGTTTACTATAACCAAACAACAAACATATGAAATACATATATATGAACTGCGGTTATGAAACGTATATGTGCACGATCCTTCGCAGTAAAGCACTATTTAAGCAATAGTGAAAATCAGACCTGAAAAAAATTCAGGCCTGTACGGGATTCGAACCACTGACCTCTGCGATACTAGTGCAGCGCTCTACCAATTGAGCTAACAAGCCAACTGGGAGCAGGCCATCAAATTAATTCGACATAAACCCGTAGATGATAAATCAAACAACAAACATATGAAATACATATATATGAACTGCGGTTATGAAACGTATATGTGCACGATCCTTCGCAGTAAAGCACTATTTAAGCAATAGTGAAAATCAGACCTGAAAAAAATTCAGGCCTGTACGGGATTCGAACCACTGACCTCTGCGATACTAGTGCAGCGCTCTACCAATTGAGCTAACAAGCCAACTGGGAGCAGGCCATCAAATTAATTCGACATAAACCCGTAGATGATAAATCAAACAACAAACATATGAAATACATATATATGAACTGCGGTTATGAAACGTATATGTGCACGATCCTTCGCAGTAAAGCACTATTTAAGCAATAGTGAAAATCAGACCTGAAAAAAATTCAGGCCTGTACGGGATTCGAACCACTGACCTCTGCGATACTAGTGCAGCGCTCTACCAATTGAGCTAACAAGCCAACTGGGAGCAGGCCATCAAATTAATTCGACATAAACCCGTAGATGATAAATCAAACAACAAACATATGAAATACATATATATGAACTGCGGTTATGAAACGTATATGTGCACGATCCTTCGCAGTAAAGCACTATTTAAGCAATAGTGAAAATCAGACCTGAAAAAAATTCAGGCCTGTACGGGATTCGAACCACTGACCTCTGCGATACTAGTGCAGCGCTCTACCAATTGAGCTAACAAGCCAACTGGGAGCAGGCCATCAAATTAATTCGACATAAACCCGTAGATGATAAATCAAACAACAAACATATGAAATACATATATATGAACTGCGGTTATGAAACGTATATGTGCACGATCCTTCGCAGTAAAGCACTATTTAAGCAATAGTGAAAATCAGACCTGAAAAAAATTCAGGCCTGTACGGGATTCGAACCACTGACCTCTGCGATACTAGTGCAGCGCTCTACCAATTGAGCTAACAAGCCAACTGGGAGCAGGCCATCAAATTAATTCGACATAAACCCGTAGNGCAGAGGTCAGTGGTTCGAATCCCGTACAGGCCTGAATTTTTTTCAGGTCTGATTTTCACTATTGCTTAAATAGTGCTTTACTGCGAAGGATCGTGCACATATACGTTTCATAACCGCAGTTCATATATATGTATTTCATATGTTTGTTGTTTGATTTATCATCTACGGGTTTATGTCGAATTAATTTGATGGCCTGCTCCCAGTTGGCTTTTTAGCTCAATTGGTAGAGTGCTGCACTAGTATAGCAGAGGTCAGTGGTTCGAATCCCGTACAGGCCTGAATTTTTTTCAGGTCTGATTTTCACTATTGCTTAAATAGTGCTTTACTGCGAAGGATCGTGCACATATAGGTTTACTATAATTTTCATATTGCTAGTCTTGTATTCATTTTACCAGAACTAAACTGGAAATAGGAAAATCACGAAGGGGAGCGAGAAACAGAGAACGAAGACGGGAAATTAAATGACTGGCCTGAAATAGAAAGGAAAAGGGAACAAAAGAGAGAAAATGAGAATATAGAGTTAGGTTTCCGGTGCTCAACTATTTGAATGCAACTTAAAATCAGTGACCTTAATCACGGCAAAAAGTGCGATTTGTATTTACTTTGTTTTATGGAAGATAACTACCTTATCGATACTTGATTTCGTGGGTACTCAATTTTGCGATTTTGGCGAGGAAGTATTTGGCGCGCGGGGTTTCATTTTCGCGATTTCAAAAAGGCGTTAAATTTCGCGATTCAAGCGATCCCAACTTCATTTTCTCTTTCAACAAGTCTGCAGTTTTTAAAATAACGACATAAATTGGAACAAGCAAAATGCATATTTAAAAATTGATCTTTAATTAAGTGTATTGCAACACGGATAGGCAGTCTGAGTAGCGTGATTGTGAATTGCTACATCAACCGATTAAAGACCCTAGAAATTAAGTAACGATGAAGTGCTTATTTTCCGTTTTGGGTTCCACATCTACGAGTTTGGTGTCACTCGTCAGATTTATGATGAAGCTTGCAGATAGAAGGAAACAAAAGACTTATTTCATGTCTGGCTTAATTCACGAGAATCCGCTTTACGTGGTAAAATTCATCACCATTTATGGTCGCGCAACGCAAGCGTTCGTAATCTCCATTTTTATAACTTGAATATCTCAGAGATGAACGTGAATGAACGTTTTTCTAAGGGTTCTTCAGAGTGCATGGAGAGGGTCGTGTTGTAAAAGTTATTTTCAGTTTAATGACTTTGTGTGTTTCCAGTTCGCTGTTTTAAATTTATTCGACACAGACTTTTCAATTTTGCAACTTAAGCACCTTGTTCTCGCTATGCTTGATTTGTTCGCCTCGCTAGCTTCGCTTTCCCCCAGATGACTCAATTTTCTATTGCAGCCATGGTTTACTTTACTTTACTTTAAACAATGAGTTGAAGGTCTCAAAGCTGGTTATTATTTGCAAACGTTTCAAGAAGTTTAAGTTTCTTCTAGTAGCATCACTAATATTCATAGATTGTGGTTGTTTATCAGTGACACTTATCATTTGCAATTTACAAGATAAATGAACCGTAAAATAAAGAACGCCGTGATATGATTACGTTATGAAATTTGGAATAAACACTGTACTTTTTCAGTGTGCTTGATAGTTTACAAATTTTTGACGAAATACTCTATTGTAAATTGACGCGTTAAAGATTGCCTCTTTCCATGCCCCCCTCGCCAACCACGACTCCGTCGCTTGAGACATGTTTTCTCAAAATATCACGTATGTAAATATGTGTATGGCCCACCTCTTCAGTCTAGAGTGATTTTGCACCCAAATTCCTGATTTAAAGTAAAACAGTTGTCAGGTAATCTTGATGGTTTATCATAAGGTCACTAGACACATCCAAAACACTTTTCCTTGCGGTGAAAAGCACGTCTCAAATTCCTCCGCATTCTCAGCTTCTCGCGGGCATGACTTCAACAATGAATTGTGCTTGATATACATATGACTAAATGTGTTTCACATATTTCTGCTAGTAAAACTTGTGGTCGCACAACAACAGAAGAATTTTTAAAGTAACCCTTACTCTTTAAGCAGCAAACAGAAGGATTACCATTGTCGAGCGGCGTGAGAGCGTTCTAGTTCTGCTTTTCTTTTAACTTGTTGTGATAACGTAGTTGTTTCTTTGGATGTGTACAACTTAATTATGACAGTGGAATAATCGATTTTATTGGAAATATTGCAACAAATGCGACGGAAATTAAACTAAGAGAAGATTCGATTGTAACAGAGATAGCGTGACGATTAAAAAATCAGTCCGATTGATTAAATATATATCTACCAAGAAGGAATTTCAGTCAGGAATATTGCATTCCACTCCTTCGGACGAGAGATTTTGAATAGAATTCTAGATTAACTAAACTGCTCATAAACTGACGAGGTCCGCCAACAAGCACTGCTCAAGAAAACTTTACCCAAACGATGTGTTTGGTTTTTGACCTCGAAATTCAAAAATTTTCCGTGATAACTGTGGTAATGCATTATCGCAATTTGATCATCAAGGACTACGACTTCCGATTTCGAAAGAATTTTGTCTGTATCGGTGCAATCCTTCATTCACACTCGACCAATGAAGTAAACTCGACCATTTTGAAGAGTATGTACTCACCATTTCATATCATTCTACAAATCAGCCATATTATCATCATCCGCAAGAAAAAGAAGGGAAAGTTGAAGAAAACCAACCCAGAGTGGACCTCAAGAAACATTTGCTGTATCCCATCAATCCCTCGGGCTCACTACTATTTGACACAGGCAGGCAATACTTACAAAAGAGCTTTAAGGGTTTAAATAGGCGTCGATATTTTTGGGTGGTACTTAAGAAATTGAATTAACATACTGAAACAGGTTTTTTATAAAGACGGATTATTTTTAAAGCAAAAATCGATGAAGATCTATTTCTTGCTGTTTATAAACTCATGACGCCATTACTGGGAGCTTGTTAAGACTAACAAGGCCAATACCAGTACATGATCGAGGCTAAGGCTGAAAATTTATTTAGTATTTATATGAATAAACAAACTCTACAGTTAGGTAGACAGTTTACTGATAACTGCGCGCTTTGCAACTAAAAGGGGTCTTCTTTGAAGTGCATTTTATTGAAAACAAACGACATTGATAAAACACGCCCTCTGCCAAAGCCAGAAAGAATTGATTTTGATCAGTATAATCCTCCATCATTAGTGAGATTGCCAGACAGAGAATTTCCCTCTTGTTGAATTATGTTGCACCTCGTCTGAAATAGGTAACTGACTTATAAAAAGATAAAAAAATTTCCCTCTGCGAACCCTTCCACCATTGTTAAAAATATCCCCAAGGGGTATTTTATTATATAATCGGCCTGTCTCCATATAGGGGACCAGTCTCTAAAGAAACTGTGGTGCTACATCGGTGGGAGTAACAAAGTAATTTTTATCAACTAAGTTGATGATATAATTTGGCCACGTAAAGAGTTTCAAAGTTGATGTTTTGAGTGTTAGCCCTTTTGACGAAGGGCTAACGCTCGAAACGTCAGCTTTGTTTTCATACAGCCCTATTTACATCCGAGTTGAAATTGAAACAAGTTTTACAGTGAAAGGAAGTGTCTTCAGGTCTGTTTTCCTCAAAGAGTATCGGTTTCTGGCAGAGGAGATAGTAACATGCGGTCTTCTCTTTCTTTTACAGCTACGTAAAAATGCCAGCAGTTTAACAACCTCCCGTCGAAACCTTGGACAACGTAATGAATAAATGACAGGATTAGCTGTGGAGCCGGCTAGTCCCAGGAACAAAGAAATCTTTTTGAACTTCCAGGCTTCATTGATGCTGACAAACTGAAGGACAATGAGTCTTGTAAATGTTGGGGTCCATGCAATGAGAATATGATAGTGACCAGTATAAAAAGCTTTGTCAATTTGCGTCTCGACTGTAAATGGGCAACGCTCGTCGCTTCGTTAGCTTCGGCGTTTAACCACATGTGATAAATAATCCTAGTATAACAATATATCATCGTAGCACTCAGTAAAAATGAGTCCGAAAGTGAAGATTACAAATGAAAACGTCGAGTTAAGAATCTCAATCCAGCCAGGGATTTCAATCGTTGTACTTCTCATGGCGTTTCTCCAGATGTACTTGTGTTTTGGGGAGGCCAGATGGGAGAATACTACCTGCTCTCAGAACCAATCAGATCGCAGGATTTGAAGAATACCGCCCGCTTACGAACTAGGTTTTGTGATTTGGGGAGGCCGGATCGGAGAATACTATCCGCTTTCAGAACCAATCAGATCGCAGGATTTGTAGAATACCGCCCGCTTACGAACTAGGTATTGTGATTTGCGGAGGCCGGATGGGAGAATACTACCTGCTCTCAGAACCAATCAGATCGTAGGATATGTAGAATACCGCCCGCTCACGGACTAGGTAATATTGACAGTTTCAAGAAACCTGGAGAGCTTGGTGAAAACACAGTAGCTTGCTTTGTACGGCGCCATAGAGAACGTGACGAACCTACCTTCGGGGGTAAAGCCGTATTTGAAATTAAATCTCATTTGGTGCTTGTATATATTTTATAATATAAATTAAAGTTTGATCTATTTATCTATCCAGCTATAATTTACATAGAAAAAGGCTGTGATCACGTACTGAGAGCATGCCTAAAATAAAGTTGAAGAGTTCAAGTTTTCATTTAGTTTGCATTAGTCTGCCACAAAGACAGCAAGTTTTCACAAAAAAACAAAATAAAATAAATTAAGAAATCAGTGATAAAGGTGCATTGATCAAAAAAAATTTGGCTTTCTACTTACATACGAGTTGCAATCGAAACAGTTTTTAGAGAAGAAACTATCTTTTGCTCTGTTTTTCTCAATGAGTATCAATTGGTCGTAAGGGGGAAAGTATAACATGCGTTCGCGCCTTTCTTTTGCAGCTCCGTAGACATGCCAGCAATTTAACAACCTCTCGTCGAAATCTTGGACAACGTAATGAATAAATGACAGGATTAGCTGTGGATCCCGCCAACCCAAGGAACAAAGAAATTATTTCGAACTTCCAGGCTTCACTGATGTTGACAAACTGTAGGACAATGAGTCTTGAAAATGTTGGGGTCCATGCAATGAGAAATATGCTGGTAACCAGTATAAAAAGCTTTGTCAATTTGCGTCTCGACTGTAAAAGGGGAACGCTCATCGCTTTGTTAGCTTCAGCGTTGAACCACATGTCATAAATAATCCTAGTATAACAATATATCATGGTAGCACTCGGCAAAATGAGTCCGAAAGTGGAGATTACAAATGAAAACGTCGAGTTAAGAATCTCAATCCAGCCTGGGATTGCAATTGTTTTATTTCTCGGGGCGTTTCTCCAGTTGTACCTGTGCTTTAGGGAGGCGATAACGAATCCTGGAGTGCTTAGTAGGCCAGCGAGCAGCCATATTGCGAGAATCACTTTCCACATCAAAGACTTGAAGGCCCTCGTCAAGTGCAGAAAAGGTTTTAGAATGGCAAAATATCTCTCCACTGCTAGAGCTACTAGTAGATGGATTGAAGTCGTTGCATGGAAGATAAAGTCGGCGAAAAAAATATATGGACTGGTGCAAGGTCCAATATATGGACTGGTGCAAAAATATCTGTAAAAGTTACAATAGCGAAAACCAAATCTGAAGAAGCCAGATTGCTGAGGAGGCAAGAGTTGGCGTTGTGAAGTTTCTCAGTGCACCTGATAACCATGATTACGAGAATATTTCCAAAAACATTACAAAGGAGGATTAAAATGGAAGCAGTGAATAAGGCTGTGTAGAAATATTCCGCCATTTTGCGAAAAAGGCGTCAACGACTTTCGAAATAAATATTGTTATTGACTGTGGTTGAAATAGCCTGAATAATGTTACGCGTTAAAAACAAATTATCATAAGAAAATTCATTTCCTGAAAAGGGAATTTTGCATTAAATTGCATGCAAAAACCGATATCGCACGAATCACGTAGCGATGAGTGCGAGATGGGTTTTCAAGTGCAATTTAACGTGGAATTCACGAGTCAGGTAATGAATTTTCCTTGACTGAATCGCATAATTGAATAACAATAAGCAAAAAAAGAAACAGCAAAATATTGTTTATTTTGTCCTGAGCGCGTGCTCCAGAAAGCCATCTCAAACTCAAGAAGAACCTCCCGCTCAATTAAAAAATCGCTTATGTTTGTTTTTGGCTTTACAAAAGATGACAATGGTTTCGAAAACATTTTAAAATTAAAACTGTTATAATTTGACGATAGTTGTTATGTCAACGTAGATGCGAAACAATAGCACTAAGCCTTGTTTTCAACTTCCAATTCCCCGAGAAATACCTCGCTTCGTAACCAATTAGAATGTTTGACAACTATTCACCGAAGTGGAAGGGGTCAGTGGTGGATATTCATATTGACCGAGCCGCGAAGCGGCGAGGTAGATATCCATCGCTAACCACCGACACTGAGGTGAATAGTTGTTTTAGTATATATTAAAACAGTGAGTTAAATATACACCACCAAAAATTAATTTGAGTGATTTCTTCGCTTGTCACGGATGCAAACGTCACGGATGCATATCGTCTCCGGCACCTATTAATTAGTTAATTTGGATAGGCAGGGGACGTTAAAGAACCCACTGACGAGATTACTGTGATGTGGTCTGGCCTGTTTACTGGGAATTTGGGGGAGGGGGCATCTTCAAATAAGTTTCCTTCGATTGCTTGTAAACTGCTGATGCAGTCCGGCCAAAGTCCCCCGAAAAGTGTGGAGGAGAGTGATGCGCATTTGATCATATCCACATGTTAAATTGCGCAATATAAATATCAAATTATTATTATTATTATTAAACCGGGACGCCATTTTTCCCGAGTTGCACGGAGGTAAATAGCAAAGAATATCGGTATTCGGAGTTTGACTAGCGCCTTCAACGTTATCCACTGTTTTAGTATATACTAAAAGATTTTATTCAATGATGCCATTCTATAGAAAAATGCACTGCCTGACGAGTGAATTCCATTTTAAATTTAATACGAAAAACCGATATCGCACATTATCGCATTATCGCACTCATTGGAGTTTCCAAGCTTTTAAATCATGATGAAAGCATGTGATAGCAAACCCTTCCCGTCCCATGTCTGGGATTTTTCTAGCAAAAATTTGAAAAAAGTTCATTGCAGCCCGAGTGACATTTTCTAGAATTAACTTTTCCGGAAAGATCGAGATTAACTAAGATCTTGCCACTGTTTAGAAAACAAGGAATTCCTCAATGCCAATTGCAATTGGCTAAAAATAGGAAATAAACTTATAGAGTTGAAAGGTAGGCTTTTTGGGACAAAATGAAGCTCTGTAAAATTCCATTTGTACTTCCATCATGTCCACTTTACTTTTAGATTTCGTCTGGCTTTCGTATCCGATAATCTATCTCTGTTAATTGAAAATTAAAATTCGCTCCAGAATTGAGTCAACAGAAAAATATCTTGATGGGGGCTATTAAAATAATAGGGTTTTTATCAATTGTTTTCTTTCTTTTGTTATAATTTGTTGTTTACAAGAAGGTTTTAATTCAAGTAAAAAAAGCCAATTTTTTGCCCAACAAAATTTCCAAAGAAGAAAAATCTGGGTATTTTACATCAGTCTTCCCTTAATTTTTTTTTATTTTTTTACCTCTCAGGTATATGTTCCCTTATTATTTGTTAAAACCACTTTTTTTTTATTTTGTTTTCATTAAGTCTCAGTTACTTCTTGTTTGATTTAATCTTGCCATTTTGGGTGTTCATAATTCTACCTAGAAAATTCCAGACTCAGATATAATTTCGAGCGTCAACGAGGTTGTATAAAATAAACTTGTGGCAAAAAAAAGATTTGTATGAATTCATAGACGTGGGATTAGGCCGATGATGTCGATTCTGTTTCTTGGTGATTTATTGAAATCGTTAAAATATTTATGCCTTGTTCGAGTTAGGTTTCCATAGTAACACTCACAGTCCATTCATTTACACGCATCGACACTTTTCCATTGGTTCTCAAAAAGCCATCATGTGGTGTTCAAATGCTCCCTTACCCCTTACAAAATCGTATCTCCTCAAGCTAACAAATGAGCAAAAATACTGTGTCCCTTCTCGTATTTCAGGCAATTATTTTATCATTTTCTGTTAGTTATTCTGAATTACACACTGTCGCTACAAACACTTTTACAAGCAATAGCACTCCTAGTTGAAAACAATACTAACAAAATGTGTTGTTACAACATTTAATTTGTCACTTGGCGACCGATAATTTCGTCGTATCTCTCAAGTTCTATGTAATGCCAAGCTTAATAGCTCTCAGTTGTATTCTCATTGCAGCGGTAATGGTAACGGTGATCCCTGAGACGTTTAAATGCCGAATATTGGAGGAAGATGTGATGGTCATTTGAAATGAAAACGGTGCATAAGAACTTAAAGGGCTTGATCATAAATTAAGCCAAAGTTACCCTCTGTGATACCAGTTCTTCGTGACTGATTAACTTCACATAGCCATGAAAGTAAAATTTCTACACTGACGCAGCGTAGGTATCATTCAGATTTGTTGTATTGTATTGTGTCTCAGCCATAGGGTGGCCGTTGATCACAAACACTCTGTTACCACTTCGCCGATTTGGGCGGCGTCTTCTCATTTTACAGCAACAACACGATAATTTTTTGACTGCCTCCTGGCGAAATCTTGGACAACGAAAAGAATAAATGACAGGATTTGCTGCTGAACCTATCAGAGCAAGCAACATGGAAACTAGCTGATAAGAAGTCTTTGTTTTTTCCTGGTTCGAAAACTGTTTGACGATTAGCCTGCCATATGTAGGAGTCCAAGTGATTATAAATGTCATGGTGACGATGATAAAAAGTTTGGTCAATTTGCGGCGCGATTTGAAGAGAGCAGCATTTGTCACTTTGTCTTCAGCCTTGAACCACACGTGATAAATCACACGTGAATAACACAGAATCATAACAGTACTTGGCATGACGAGACCGACTGCAAAAACTACAAATACGAATGTGATATTGATAGTGTCGATTACAGAGGGAAGATCACTTGAAGTGTTCTTCGAACCATTCACAAACCTGGAATACTTGAACCTGGGTTCAAATGATTCGATAACAAATCCTGCCGCAGTTAAGATACCAACAAAGATCCACAGCGCTGTACAGACTTTCTTCATTAAACACACATCCACTCTTTTCATATGCACGAAGGGTTGCAGAATTGCATAATACCTCTCAACTGCTAAGACAACGAGAATATAACTTGAAAATAAAGCGTTGAAAAGGAATTGGAAAGAGGAGTATGGGATTTCAAGAAAAACAAGAATCGTTTCCACGAAGGTGGTCAGAGCGAAAAACAAATCGGACCATGCTAGGTGGAATATGAGATAAGTATTCGCGTTCGCAAGTTTCTTGCATTTGCCAATGACTTTTATGACAAGAAAGTTCCCAATAACGGTGAAAATAAGAAGAGGAATTGAAAGAACAGTAATGAGCAGATTGAAACCCGCCATAAGCAGAAAAAAAAATAAAAAGAAAAGAAACCTGGAGAGCGTTGTGAAAATTAGGTAGCTTGCTTTGTACGGCGCCCAAGAGAACGTGACCAACCTTCGAAGGTAAAGCTATATTTGAATTTTTAATTTGATTTGGTGCTTGTATATGACTTATACAAAAAATTAATAGCAATAATTTACATAGAAAAAGGCTGAGATCACGCCTAAAATAAAGTTTAAATTTTCATTTTGGATTGCATTAGTCCGCCACAAAAACAAAAAATTTCCCTGTAAAAATCAAATTAAGGAAGCTTTAATAAAGGTGCAGAGATCACAAAAAAATTTTGACTTCTTTCTAAACGGGAGAAAGATCACCTTAAGTTTTTTAGCTAAAAATAAATTAGCTCTTTTTTATCGTAGATGATGACAGTTACATATTATTGTTGCTGTCTAAAAGTACCATTTCAGATTATCATAACAATTCTTTCTTCAATTTCATCTCTAGACGGAAAATCTTAATCAAAAAACTAACTTCTCCCCAAACAAAATTCAGTGGCCTTACAAGTGAGTGTTGTATACACAGCCAGCTGGATAATCACATAGGGCTGCAAAAAGCACGCAAATATCAAAGAATTAATTACTATTTGGTTTTCCTTTTTTCTTCTCTTTATAATTAAACGAGCTCAAGAGGGTTGAGTCAAACAATAGAACCCTTGCTTTCAAAAAAAACTTTAGTAGTTATCAATAACATCTTTAAAAGAGGAAGAAGTGTTTATTTCTTTATTTAACTGAAATATTATTTTCTCGGGTTGATGAATTTTTAGATAAAAAAAAAGCCGAAGCCTGAATTTTTTCGTCTCTACAATTGCTAATGTTGCAGCCCACTTGCGAGGATCGTGGCTCTATTATATTTGAGTATTAAAGTCGCAGGTCAAACGATATTTATTGCATTAGAAATTGTTGGGATAAACATGTAGCTACCGACTTTGAATCCCCCTTCAGAATGGCTCTTAACAGAAACAATGAAAAAAATTTCCTTGCTGATAACTTCTGAACGATAACACAATTATTTAAAAAATAACTTAGCGTTTAGAACTGGAATCAAGAGGCTCATTTTGACGATGAATAAATGACATTTTATCATGATGACGGCCGAATTTCCTTTCCGAATTTTCGAACGTGTATGATTCTTCAAGGCTCCTTGAAACTCGCTCAAATCCTGCGGAGCTTCACCCTTGTTAACGGGGGATCCACAACATTCACATACTGAGGTCCAAGTTTTACCATATCTATGTCAGATCCATGGTCACTCATGGTTGTGTGTACTCTTTCTAGCAAATGGTAAGTACGCTTGACATCAAAATGCTCGGGTCCAAGCGTTCTGAGCCTCATATTCAGAGCAAGTCTGTAATGCTTCTCGGCCTGTTCCAGCTCCCCGGCGTCAAGGTATACATCACCTAGGTTCTCGTACGTAGACGCGAGATCGATAAGCTCAGGTCCAAGATTCTTTAACTCAAAGCTAAGAGTTCGTTCGTGATACTCCTCGGCCTTTGTCAAGTCACCCAGCTGATGGTGTACTACACCTAAGCTATGGTATGTAAGTGCGACATCATCGTGATTGGGTCCAAGCTTTTTCAATCGGATTTCCAGGGCAATTTCAAAGCACTCCTGGGCATGTTGCAAATCACCTAACTGTTGGTATACTACACCCATGTTGTGGCAGCTAAGTGCGACATGAACATCCTCGATTCCAAACACTCTCCCCCTAATTTGTACAGCGCGTGCATAATTTTTTATGGCCTGTTGCAGATCACCCAGGTCAAAGTGTACATTACCTAGGTTATGGTAAGTAAGCGCGACAGCAGCTTGCTGGGGCCCATGCTTTCTCAGGGGTCTACTCGTTCTGAGCCTGGTGGTTAGGGAACGTTCGTAATGTTTCTCGGCCTGCTGTAGGTCACCAATGTCAAGGTATGCATTACCTGGGTTCTCGTATGTAGAATCAACACTAAGAGCTCGTATGTAATACTCCTTCGCCTTTCTCAAGTCACCCAGTTGATGGTGTACTACACCTAACGTATGGTATGAAAGTGCGACATCACAGTGGTTGGGTCCAAGCTTTTTCAATCGAATCTGCAGGGGAATTTCAAAGCAATCCTGGGCGTGTTGCAGATCACCTAAGTGCTGGTACACTACACCCATGTTATGGCAGCTGAGCGCGACATGGACATCCTCGATTCCAAACATTCTCTTCCAGATGTTTAGAGCACGTGCATAATCTCGTTTGGCCTGTTGCAGGTAACCCAAGTCAAGGTGTACATTACCCAGGCTATGGTAGCTACGCACGACATCAACATGTCGGGGTCCATGCTTTCTCAGCCTAACGTTCAGAGCACGTCGATAATGCTCTTTAGCTTGAGTCAGGTAGCCCATGTCATGGTAAACATTACCCAAGCTATGAAATATATCCGCGACTTCAAGGTGCACGGGTCCAAGTTTTCTCATATCAATTTCTAGAGCTCGTTCATAACTTTCCCTGGCCTGTGTCAAGGAATCCAACTGCTGGTGTATTTCACCCAAGCTACGATAGATGAGCGCGACTTCGAGGTGCTCTGGTCCAAGCATTTTTAACAGAATGCATAGAGCTCGGTCATAATTTATCTTGGCCTGATGCAGGTTTCCCATTTCCAGGTATACATTACCCAAGCTGTAGGAAGTACCCGCCACATCAACATGCATTGTTTCAGGGTTCTTCAACTGGATGTCCAGAGCACATTCAATATGCTCTTTAGCCCGCTGCAGGTCACCCAACTGCCGGTGTGTTACACCCAGGTTATGGTACGTAAGCGCGACATTAACATGGCTGGGTCCAAGCCCTTCTAACTTAATGTCAAGAGCTCTTGCAAAGTGCTCCTTAGCCCTCTGCAAATCACCCAGCTGCCGACATACTACACCCAGTGTATGGTAGCTAAGGGCTACATCGAGAAGCTCAGTTCCAAGTTCTTTCAGCCTAATTTCTAGAGCACGTTCATAATACTCTTTGGCCCGCCGCGGGTCACACAAGTCAAGATGTACATCACCCAAACCATGGTTAGTAAGGGCGACAGCTATATGTTCGGGTCGAAGTTTTTTCAACTGAATGTTTAGAGTGCGTTCATAATACTCTTTGGCCCGTTGCAAATCAACCAACTGTTGGTGCACTTCACCAGAGTTATCTTCAGTAAGAGCGACACGAACATACTCGGTCCCACGATTTCCTAATTGAATGTCCAGGGTACGTTCACTGAGCTCCTTGGCCTGTTGCAGGTTACCCAACTGTCGGTGTATATTACCCAGGTTGTAGCACGTACGTGCGACATCAACATGATCAGATCCAAGCTTCTTTAATTGAATGTCTAGAGCATGTTCAAAATGCTCTTTGGCCTGGTGCAGAACACGTAAGTCGAGGTGTACATTACCCAAGCTGTGGTAAGTGAAGGCGACATCTTCATGCTCAGGACCAAGTGTTTTTAACTGACTGTCTAAAGTACCTTCATATTGCTCCTTTACCTGTTGCAAACCGTCACCCGATTCAGACTTTGTGCTACCCAAGCTGCTGTGAGTATCCGCGACATCAACGTGCTCTTTGCTGTATGGAAGGGTCGTTACTCTTGGTTTTGCAGCATTGACTTTAGGAAACCTCAGTCCTGTTTACAAATTTTTCGAGTCAATATTTAAGTATATTTTGGTGAAGCCGCTAGTATTGCTTTTGAAATCTGATGGGTAAGATGAAATTTCAATCCAGCTGGGTTATAAACGAGCCAACGGCATAATTCACAATGAAATCCACTTAGAATTGAAAGCTTATTTATAGCATGAACATTTCGTTATCTCCATCATGTTTCTTTGTTAACACTAAACTATCTGTTGGAAATGCCAGGAACCTGTGTGGTTGTCTCGATCCATATTTGCTCGTGAGGTACATACATTAGAGTGATTTAGTACCGCGTATACGTGAAATGTGAACGGAAAGAGTGACCACGTGACCTTGTTGTACCCGCCATTTTTTTACATTTGGCGGTTGCGCTTTGCCGTTTCTACGAGAAAGTAGCCTGTTTCGCGTTTGCCATGTATGTAAGATTTTCCTCGCTTTTCTCCCACAGAGCACAAGTTTTAAAAATTCCCGGAAAAGGGCACCAAAATCATTCTTTGTAAGTCATACAAGGGCGCCTTCAAATCCACAATGACGAGAACTCACGCCAAGCGAAAGCAGCAACGTTCACACTATTTTACGTGAAAGGGCAAGCTGACGTTTGCCGTTTCACGTAAACGAGGTACTTAAAATTACCCCAAACGCGATATTCTATTTGACAATTAGAACATGCTTTAGCGTACACTATCGAGTTATGGAGCACGTGGGAAGTTTGGAGAGCACCCAAGAAGCTAGAGTTGCCCACGGCTATTGCCTCGGGCAACTCTTATGCTTTTTTGTGCTCTCCAAACTTCCCACGTGCTCCATAACTCGATAGTGCACACCTAAAAACATGAACCAATTGTTTTTATAACAGCGGTGGAATTGTGCATCAAATCCGACGCGAAAAACGGACAACAATATCAGAAGTCGTATATGAGCACGATCCTTCGCAGTGAAGCACTATTTGAGCAATAGTGAAAATATCAGAAGTGATTGTTCGCGGTAATCGAAATATAAGCAAACTAGGAATTGGTTTTATTTCAAATTTTGAAAGTTGAAACAGACCAGTTTGTCATTTGTTTGGTTTTACCAGAGTGTCTTCCTGTCAAAATTTGTTGCATTTCACCCTCGGACAGTGAAGCGAATCGTGACGGCGCTGATGCCGAGTCTCCTTTTCCGTTGTTTTTCCCTTTTTCTGCCTCACTTAAGAACTCTAGCCCAAGGAAGAAGGTCGGAAAATTGTCTTCGTTTGGGACTGGTCGGCCAAGTCTCTGTTTGTATCCATTATTGTCGCGAAATATATTATTTTTCCCCGCGCTAACAATGGCTGCTCGCGCGAAAAAGAAATTCTGGCGAAGCGATTTGCTCACACTATCAGCGTGCACTATCGCGATTTTGAGCACGCTTACGTATACTGAATTTGATTACGCGGCTCTGCTAGCTATATTATAACATGGGAGAGTAAGCACGCTAATGCTAGTTACGTTGGTGGAACAAGCTGACGTTTTTAACGCTACACGGGACAAAGCGTTTACAAATTTGTCCGAATGCTTCTTCTGGATATCGACGTGAAACAGCTTTGTGTACTCACCTGTACAGGGCATGAAATAATCTCGAGCAGCTATGTATTCCTCTTCTCGAATGGTTGTCGATAATTGCACCTCAATAAGACCAAACTCGTTTAGAACATCCTCTGTGACAAGATGTTTTTGTGCCATCTCATTAAGGTGGCCCGTACAATAGTCTTCCCACAAATCGTCTAATACCTGCAGAGAGCTACATTCCATGGTTACTTTTATGCTTCCTGTTTGAGCATCAACAAACAGGACTTTACGCACGTCCCTGAGATATTGCAGAAACTCATTTCGCTCATGCGTGTTTGATGCATCAATTTCCTTGAAATACTTGAATGCGATGAAATCCAAAACCTCTTCTCTGGTTGGTATGCAGTCTCTTCCAATCACCGTTGTCTCGGAGCCACATGTACATACAACCATCGATCTTGAGCAAGCAGCTGCTTCTATGGGGTCACAGTCAACCCGCATTTGAATTTGAACTATTTGAATAAAACGTTTCATCAACGAACGTAACTTCAGGGGCCACGATAGGGATGTGACAACTTTAACCTCGGCCCCCTTACTTATAACCCTCTATTTCCAAAGTGATTACATGTAACTTCTCTTTGTAATATCCAGCAAACAAGTAATGAGAATACTCAAACTTTTCAGGCAGAGGTTGTTATCCTGATCTTACGCCAAATTCTCTTAACGAACTTACCATGAAATATCTAGAAGCTAAAGGGGAGAATTAACAATCAGATCTTGGGAGTTAAAGGGTTAAGTGGTACCATTGATCCCAGACTCTTTTCCGATGCCTAAACTTAACCATGCATTGAGAGTTCAATTTCAATCGGTGATTGCAAAATTCTGATCACGCAATGCATAAAATTCATGTTTGCGAGTGGGAAAATATGAACTGACATTAAATGAAAAAACAAATCGCCGCTCTTAAACTTTGCAGTTTCAAAATTTCAATAACCTACAAGTCAGCTTTGATTGAATAGATGCCATGAACCTGTGCGGTTGTCTCGATGCGCGTGAAGTGCATATATTAGAGCGATTTAGCACCGCGTTTACGTGAAACGTAATCAGGCTCAGGCTTGTTCGAATAACCATTAAATAGTAAGTAAAGTGTAACTTCCATAAAAAGTCTACCCAGGCCCTCTTTTTGAAACCTAAATGTTCTGAATGATAATTGAAATGAGTGGAGTGCAATTTGGTCAAATCATACTATAGTTAGATTCATTAGCTATGAATCATACGAATGATTTCAAGATCGAACGAGCGCGAGTTTGATTGAAATCAAAAGTATGATTTCCGACCAAAATTTCACAAAACGAATTTCAATTACCGCTTAAATACATCCATTTTGAAATTGCAAAATTCAGTCGCTCAATTGCAAATATGTGTTTTTTAAATAATTCAAATAACTTATTGATCCAACACTGAGCTTGTTGAAGTTGTTACAAGAGTTGTCTTTCATTTTCCTATAATTTGATTGGTTACTTTAAACAAGCCTTGAAATCTGATATAATCGTAACGGTGGCCAATTTACCATTTCAACTTTGTTGATATATTCAAATTCTTTCGTTATCCCCATCAACGCAGCCCCAGACAGTTTCTTTAGAAACTATCAGCCTTTATTCATTTGTTTTAGTAAAGGTTCTCATTGGCCGGGTATTAGATGCGATTTAGAGTGAATGGGCGAATGGGGCGATTCGCACGGATGAGAGCCAATCAGATCGTAATGATCACCAGGTGATTTCAAAATGGATGTGATAAATCTCTTAATGTTTAATAGCTGACCTCCAGAGGCTTGAGGGGCCTCAGATGAGACGTGGAGTCTGTCAAGCTGATCCTGCATGTTTTGAACTTCCTCTCGAAATTCTTGTCGAAATTCTTCCTCTAATTCCTTCACTTCTGTATCTTTTCTATACCAGCGCAGTAATTCGTTTACATTTCTTTCATCTTCTGCAGTGAGAGGATCTTTTAAGAAATTTATCAATGGCACCCTCCCATTCATCTCTCTTTGCTGAACTAATTAATCCAGCGAGTCGTAATAAAGCCTCTCTGATTTCTTTCCAGAGTAATTGAAATTCTTCATCCCCGATCTCCATGCTTTGATTCACATGACCGTACACGGAGTTTCGATGATATTTGATTCTCGCTAAATCCGCAGCTAAACTGTGGTCTGTACATGCCGGTAGATCGTCCCATCCCGTGGCAGGAGGAAGTATGCTGCATATTGTCCGCAGTAACCTAAAAAGCAGAGTCAAATCAAAATCTTTTGATCTGCCATACGTCCCTGGGGAAGGGTAGAGACAATCCCAATGTGGTTTGGGGAGTTTTAATGCAGCGAGCTTCCCTTTTATAGCCGGATTCTTCAATGTTTTGGGGAGATCTTTTGGTGGACATCTGTTGTCAAAAATCTCTCTCAGCATAATTGTTCGTCCGCTTATCAGCAGTCGTGCAACGCGTTGGAAATTCGTTTTCTCAGGAGTTGAAACAAGCGCCTCACTGGGGTCTGGGGCGGCGGCCATTTCACCTATGAGATATCTGTGAAAACACAACACCACATTCCCTCACAAACAAGGAATGGATACCTATCAAGTACTGTTACCCTTCTGAAACAGTGACTTTTGTCCTTATTGAGTATTAACTCTGAAACCTTTGCCACGCTGTTGTCGTTTTTTTTTAAAACTGATCAGGTTTATTTTTTCTACTCTACGTTTTCGCTCTCTACACCTTACAGCCGTTAGACGGAGTTTGCGACGGTGACGTGACACTACCGCATCTGCGTTTAGATAAAAAGTGAAATAGGAGGCGTGATGATTAAAGCAATAGGTTTTTAGGAGAGAGTGTTCTAAATTTGTGACGTGGCGAAAGTTGATGCCTAACAGTTAAACAGAGATTTGACGACTGAGAGTAGGGTGTACCCCACACGTTCGGTACACCACGTACCTGGACTCTGATGTAGAATGAATGCTAGACAGTCGTCTGGCTTGAACTTTGTAATCCAGCTGAGCTAGTTTGCTGCGAACTATCATCTTCTCGATCCATTCGCCTTGACATATTAACGTTTTACCTGGACAACTCTTAAATCAATCATTCAGTCTTTTAACTTCTGTTACAGCAAAGTTTAGTGTCGCTTTTTATTTTCTGTTCGAGGATTTAGCGTCTATTTCTCTTAATCCGTGAGAAATGATATTCAGTTGAAAAGTAATACCGTTATAGCCAAAAAATAGAAAAGGGATGTACATTTCATGAACGCCTGTCTGTTCTCATTTTGTGTATAATTTACCTTTTATATTCGGTTTTAGCCCAGTAGTCTACAAATATATGCAACTTTGTTGATAGATCCAAATTATTCCGTTACCCCCACCGATGCAGCCCCAGACAGTTTCTTTCGAAACTATCAGCCTTTATTCATATGCCAATATACGTTTTATGTGTAGTGAATATGCATTTAGAAACACATATAGCGGCCTCACCAAAGTTATCAATTTTGATAAGACCCTATGTCAACATGATCCTGAAAATGGTATCTCCAGGAGAAATCTGAAAGGAAGGGTTTAACTCCGATTCAAAGCTGAGGTTTGGAAACATATCAGACTTTTTCCGCTTTTGATTCAAAGATTAATTATCATTGTTCAGAATCAACCAGGGTGAACGAGTAATGCTTATCTAGGAAGTTCTTAAACTGAATAGTTTACTAAGTATAATTTTGTTTAAAGGTTCTCTACAACATCCCCTCAAAGCAGTTAACAAAGCAGTACATCGTCCGCATATGACATGTAATCGGTTTGTTCTGACTGTTTTTCAAATTTTGACGTACCACGACGTGTTAGTTCTAATCAAAGACACGCTTTAGTTTCCATGATAATGTCTGAGATGCGTCGATTGTACCGGAAATGCCGGATGAAATTAAGCGGTATCTCAGTGCATAAAGATTTGACCAGATTTGGGAAATGATAATTTTTTTTTTTTTTTTTACTTAAGCTGGCACTACATATGATTTGTCTCTTTGGAAGCTCTAAATCGGCATATTGAATTGCATATTGAAATGCCGCATATTGAATTGTCTGACAGTAAGTACCAGCGCATGGTATACGAGTACTAGTAAAGCACATCAGTTAAGGGACAAACAACATGGATCTCATGGAAGCTTTTCAACGTCATTTTATTTAATTTACAGAAAAATTCAGTGTTACACACAAGGTAATATGATTGCCGCTGTTGGGTTGCTATTCTTTTCCTTGCTTGGCCTTGCAGACTTTTTTAAAATATCAACTACAGTTGATTTACCGATCCCAAATTTACCGCTTAGAGCCTTCAGTGTTGGTTTAGGCACTGATTTCGCGCATTGAAGCAACTCAATTCTCTTCTCTAGTGATAACAGACATTGTGATGTTTGCTACTTCGTTTGTTTTCGTGAGTGATTTCACCCGCAACATTACAGTCTATTAACCTGACCCCTATTATTGTCACTCATTCAACCCAACAACAGCGGCACGATCGTCAACTTTGGATTTTTTGCTTCAGCACCAGTAGAACAATGAGTAATTAGCCGATGCGTGTTTCTCACCTCTGATTGGGATTTCACAGCTGCATGATTACAATTTTAATTTTAATCACGTTTAAAAACGTGTGATTTGAATTTGGCGGAAAGCTTAAAACTTTCACGTCCGGTTTAACGAGGTCAATTTCTTTGTCAGTATGCGATTACGGACTGAAAAAAGAATCTGGTTTCCGGAATTGAGGGGTTCCGATTTACTGAAGTTAAAAATAGAGAAAATGTATGACAGAGGTTTTGGGGCCAAAAAAAAGGTCCGGTAAAGAGAGGATTCTGGTTTAATGAGGGTCCGGTTTAGAGGGGTTCCACTGTAATTTATTATTTTAACAGCTGTACACTTGTCATCTATTAGTATACGACCCTTGAGCCTTTGAAGACTACTCTTTTTTCAAATTAACTCATCATTTTTACTTCTATTTCTCTTGAAGAGATGCTGCAAGGTTTTGCTTAATTTGTGCAAGAAGAATTTTCCAGCTGTGCCTCTGTGTCTTGACCAGTAAGTGATGGATTAGCTCGAACAGGATTGCGTATTGAAAACATTGCTAACTCGAGCAAGCTCAAACAGCGAACGCTAATTATAAGACCCAGCTGACATCCAAAACTGTGTAATGAAATTTGGGAAGAAGAAAATATATACTTTATTCACAAAGAGAGCTTAAACTTTCTACAAAGTTATATGTTGTTCTGGGGACACAATACGATTACTACAACAACAGAACGACGAACATATTTAAGTCCGAACTCTTGCAAGTCTATCGAGTATTGTACAAGGCTAAAATGGACCGATATACCGACTTGCTACGACCCTTATCTATCAGGAGAAGTCCAAAACAATCAACAACAAAACATATACCAATCTGTCAATATCCTAATGACGACTTTGAAAAGTAGTTCTCTGTAAGATACCGCTGGCTCCTGCGACGACA